TTCTTATATTGTGCTGGACGCGTTGATAAAGTTCGACTGGAGAAGAAAAAAATACTATGAGCCTCACCTAGTTTCATGACGCTCCGCCGCCCCTGCAAGAGCAATTATAGTCAACAATATTAGCGGAACATGCGTCTGTGATCATACATGAGAAAACGTTCCGTTTGTGATCACTAGTAAAATAAAGTTTTTTACTGATGACTACACGTCAGATATGTCTACAAAAACCTTCCTATGGTATTTTTAAGTCGACAGACATTATGTATTTTGTTCTTCTTTTATTTTGTTTAATCACTTTTTTTGCAAAATATGAGCAAGATGATCCAGAGAACTACACGACGTAAAAGCATTCTAAAATGGCGTTTTTTGGGCACTGTGAATTGATCATTGCGCATTCCTTTCTTAAAAAATTGGATAGATTGAGCGTCATAATTCCAGTAAGTGAAAGAAAAATGTTTTTTACTCTTGGAAACTTTTCGTATATTTATAAGAATTGATTATCTGGTGCCACCTTTTCATTAATACTTTATTATTATTGTATAATATCGAAAAGAAGAAAATTTTTTCAATTTTTTAACAATCTGTGCCTCTGTTAATATGATCAGCCTGTCGACATTGCAATTGATGCGCAGCAAACTTGCGGTCTAGTCTTCGTTTATTTTATATTTATTAACAAAAAAATAATAATCAGACAAGATGTTACAAGCATTGTGTTAAAGGGGTTGCATCAAAAAGCAAAAGGACTTATAACTACAATAAGAAAGTTGTGATAGACATATGCCTGATAGAAAACTAATATACATGTATATATATACATGGTTAATTATTCTAATCAGGAAAAAGTAGAGTAGAAAAAGAAATACTGAATGGTAGTTAGAGTAGTAAACGGTACAATGACACGCCGAATTGCATTTAGTCTCACAGACTTTCTAATATTAACAGTTGGTTGAGTAATGAGCTCATCGCAGTTTAAAGTGCATAAACGATGGAAAATATGATAGTAGTTGACTAGAAAGAAAATGAAAAGACTGCAGAAAAACGTCAAAATACAGGAAAAACAGGATAAATACGAACCCAGATCTTAAATTTAATTAAAATTTTCCTATGGGCAATATGAAGTAAAGTATCTTGCCAATATGACTAATGTAAAGAGGTCATTTAGATTTTTGTGATTCAGACAATAAGAAAGAAAGAACATGTTCATCAGGTGATTCTTTTTCTTTTTTCTTTCTGTCTTTATATAATTTTTGTCACCTTTACCACTTTTATGAGTAGTAATTAACTTTTTCTTCTTGTCATTTTTGTTTTTCTGATAATGATAAGAGGCGCTCATCGAAAGCTACAAATAAACGAAAATAAAAAAGTGGATTTTGTAAAATTCGAACAATGTTCTTTGTGGCGGCAGTATTATACTCCATATTTTTTCAGGAGTTACTATGAGTGACAAAATAGGCCTATTTTGTTATCTTTAAATATGACCTTTAAAAATTTCATTCGTTCATAAATCTAATACATAAATAAGTTTAAAAAGTAGTAAATTACCTGTACGAAGGTAATACATTATAGGTTTTAGATCCATATATTTACATGTTCTCATCTACGATCTCACAAATCATATAATCATATCCATGTATTTGGATACGCATCAGAGCTTTTTCATCATCATATTAATAATCAAACTGGTTTTTGACGGCCACACTTTTTGTTTCGTTTCTGATGCTGTGGATCATTCTCATAGAATAGAAAAACAAAACATGTGCGTACATAGTTAATCGACAAAAGACAATATAACGATGTCTGACCACGATTGTATTCAATGATTTGGAAGAATTACAAGTATAATATTATGCTTACACTGTTACTCTTTATTCTAATTTATTTCGTGCTATATCATCGAATGTTATGCATCAGCCAATTGAAGAAACTGACTATAAATATAACATTACCATTAACTACCCGATATACACCGGAGAACAGTCATCCCACATTTTGTGCGAGAAGTTTTATTACGACTAATGTTATGCCTGTACCTTACCACGTCACTATATTAGACAATAAAATGTCTGTTTACGATAATTTTCGGATTATTGCAGTATCGACTAATGATAGTAATGGCACAGATATTTATTTGGAAAGAATGATTCTGCGTTTCGGTTCTTATATTTACAAGAAGACAGGCATTCGCATTAATAACGATACAGAAAATAGTATTACGAATGGATGGAATGCATTATATATTCACTCAAATGAATCGATTTCAGACTATCCAACACTTGGTGAGAATGAATCGTACGAATTACATATTTCAACAAAAAACGCTCATTTGTATGCCGAAACTCTGACAGGTGTTAGTCGTGGTTTAGCAACATTTGTACAACTACTTCATTCAGATACAAATAATGATATTTCTGTGCCGTCACTTCGTATCGTTGACAAGCCACGATTTCCTTGGCGTGGTAAGTATTTGAAAGCGGTATTCAACGAAGAGCTTTTTAATCGTCTGTGACAGTTTGAGAGGATTCGTTCCAAATTGATAGATAAGCGTTTAGTTTATACTCGTCATGACCCCAAAACGTTTCCAAACGATACATGTGTTTAAGGATGAGTAAAAAGGATGTAAAAAAGAGCTACGATTATAACTAACTAGTAGAAACTAGTAGTTAACCCTTTCGCGTCGGGGTTTTTTCCAGTAAGAAATGTGTCCGTATCTAATGGAAAAATGGTTTTTCTTACAGTTTGTGAAAAGCTCGTCCGTCTGGGAGGAAAAATAGCTTTCTCAATCTCTGAAAACTCCGCGACTCAATGACCTCCGCTCTTTACAATATAACTTTTATTAAAAATGTTTCAGCGTGTGATAGGCTTCGAAACATGGCTCTACACATAAGCCAACATTGCACTCGTAGCTGGTTGCATATGCACGTCCCTTTTGTCTTTCCATTTGAGAGCCAGAAGTATGTCAGTATGGAAAGAAACCTGTTCATTCTCGTTGAGGTCGAAGGCTTGGAAATTTGGTAAGCCACGGCGATTCACTTTCACAGTACCACAAGCCCCTGTTTTCTTCTGGTGTAATATTTCGAATAGTGCAGGACTGAAATACCAATTGTCAACGTATAAATTATGACCTCTATAAAGGTATTTTTCGATTATTTTCATCACGATGGCACCAGAAACACCTAGAGTCTCATCACGCACTATAGAAGTTGATAATCCAGTATAGACTACAAAATCTAGGA